GAGTATCCCTTTGTACAGTAACCTCATTCAGAAAACTGGAATTTGGTGAAAGTTGTTGAAGGGCAAATAAAGTTGGGGGTTTTTGGCCCTGTTTGAGTAGGGTGTTGGACTGGCTGGTCTCAAGAGCTCCTTTGATTCTGGGTGATTTCAATTCCGAAGGCAGCAGCAATGCTACTGTGATAATCACATTAAAAAATCATTAGAATAAAAATCCAGAGGATAATACATATGCACACTTTCAAGTCTCTTCCACACCCACTCCCCTTTACTGTAAATATTATAAAATTCTCTTTAAATGCTGTTGTCCTGCATCTGCTGCTGTTGGCCACTGGAAAAGAGGTGCTAACTCAGCATTGCGAAGGGCAGAGAGATGCCATCCACAGTCTGCAGTAACAGATGGAGGCCTTTAAAAGCCAGGTTGCTCTAGGCATTAAAATATCCCCGAGCTGAAACATGTGATTCTTTCCCCTTTGGAGGGAGTAAGAAATGTGTCGGACTAGAATATAACAGGCTTTGGTCTATTATGGCTATGAAGTGCAAAATTTGTCCACTACTGCTAATAACTGTCTATAAAGATATATTTTAAAAGATGCCTACAGCTATAAATATAAGGAAGTATTTTAGAGGCCTTTATAAATAAAGAGAACCCTTTGCAAATAAAAATCTTTGCTATCAGAAAATATTGTCTTCAGTACTACTTGATAGAAGATTAAGTGAGAGGTAAAGACAGCATCATATTTAAATATTCTGCACTTTGCTTTCTATGCAGGTTTTGATGACTGACCTTTAAGGTTTTTCCGTTCCTAATCTTCTGAGAGATTCTAGGTGAAGAGATACTTGAAAGGGTAGTCTTACTCTTTTTGTGTATGTCACGTTGTCTGAAGCTCCCATTTCACTGTAGAGTATAAATAAGGTCAGATCCTAGCCTGCTATTGAAATCATAGTACATGGACTCCTGACTCACAGTGCCCCTGGGAGTTAAGCAGCATACCATATTGTTTTTCCATTCTTTTGCTACAGTGGGACATACATTTCATGGTATATCTTTATATGTGTTGTATACATTCAAATTTCTTATTACTTTTTTTCCATCAGTCTGGCAGCATTTTCTGATGAGGAAACCTTGCTGACCAATCCATATGGCTTAGTCTACAGGGTTATATAAGAAGTGAACTATATTAGGTAATGGAAGTTATTGTTACAGGATAGTTCTGATATCACATGGGAAAGAAGCTGAGCATACTAAATGGCAGATAGCACTTTTTTTTAAAAAAAGCCATACTAGTGTGCTTATCAGTAAGTTTCAAAATGCTTTCCTTGCATAATAAGCACTGATGTCTTATTCACACAGGTAGTAAAACTGAAGTACAGAAGCTGACACAACAGCTTTTTCTATTCTCATGGGCTGTCTTTTATAATGGCCAGAACTGGGATTTTATTGTTGGTGGAAACCACTTTAGTGTTCCTTGTATTTGGAAGTATGATGGTCATTAATGATATGTGGCCCTTTGGCAATGGCTGATGTAAGGCAAGGCTCAACCAGTCACTTGTCTCCTAGCTGCACATATACCAAGCAGGCTGTGAAGCATTTTACATAATAGCAAAGAGCAATGAGGAAAGGAGAATCTTGACTCCAGTCCTGGATTGAGTACAAAGGTACTTCTCCTCTTCTCTGTATCCATCCCACGCCACACCGTGAAAATCTGAGTATGAGGTAGCCGCATACCTCATACCTTGTCTTTATGCTCTCATTCAGGGGCATGATATCCTCTTTTCCAAGCTGCCTACAAGTGGTGGTAGTTTCCCAGTCTGATAACTGCCAAGTTTGTCCTTTAATAGGCAAGACTAGTTGCCTTCCACGTGTTAAGCCGAACTTGTGTTCGTGGTTTATTTCAAGACAAATTTTTGCTTTAGTACCAAGGAGAATGGAGATGTGATCAGTGGAGGCACGTCCGGCTTTAATTTGCCATAAGCTCACAGAAGAGTCATGTGAAATTTTTTCAGGGATGAAGAGCATTGAAATTGCTTGGTCTGCAGGGTAAAAAGACTTTAAAGTGCAGTCTTCTTAATTGTTTTTAGAAAGGGGAAATTGAACTTCAAAACGTTCAAAAGGAAGCAAGTCTTTTAAATGATTCTAAATCACTGGGGTGCTTTAAAAAAATAATTTAACTGTAACTTGAATTTTAATTGCCTGCCCCTTCCTCTTATTGTCATGGTACTTTTATCCCCTCTGTTTTCCAGGAAGAGAGTGGTGGTGTTGCTGTTTATTTTAATAAATCCACTGGAACTTGTCCTGCAGTGCAGCAAAATTTCAAGGCTCGATATGTTTTAATATTCTGTATTATGAATATTTTTTATATCTTTGTAATTAAAAAAAATTGAAGTTTTAATGACTGCTCTCCTATAAAACCTGGACTGCTTCATTTCCAGCATAAGAAACTGAGGACAGGCAGTGCCAGGTGCAGCCAGAATATTGCTGCAGCCCCACAACATATCACTTTTTTTTAACATTATTCAAATTAGGCTCAACACTCATAATTCTGTTGTTTCCTTTATTGATGTTGTAAAGCAAATGGTTCTTTTATACAAATGTTATCTCCTGGCTATTAATTCAGCAGTTATTTTGGATTATGGCACTCCTGTTAAATTTAGGAATGTAAAACCTCATAAATACTTATATGTTTCAGACTGACATGAGAAGAAATTGTTTTTGACTTGCTTTGTTAATATCCTGTTATTCAGTTTGTAATAGATTTGGAATATATTGTTATTTCTCCACTGTTCGACAAAGGAAAAAACAATTGTAGTTGAGCAACTGCTCCAAGTGTTCTCTCTTGAATTGTAGTGGGCTGGTAAAAGTGGGTTTTTTTCCAGTAAAAAAATAGCGAGGAAAAGATCTGTTTTCCTTTAAGAAGACAGAAAACATGAAAATTTTAATTAGAGCCCACTTCAATGTTAATGAAAATGCAGCAGTAGGTTTGTAAAGAGTTTTGATAAAACGGTTTTAAGTAGTTTTACTTACAGTCAAATGCTTTTGTTTCAGCATTTTTGTTATTTAAACTTCTCTCTAAGGAACAAATTAGTAAGATGGACAAATACATTTCCTCCCTCAGACATTTTATGGAGAGTGCATTTACTATGCAGTGAGTGTATTTATAGACTAAATATTAGTATGCATCTTGAGTATCTCCCAAAGCTCTGAAGAACAGCTAAATGATAAAAAAGTCACAATTTTTGTAAAGCTGCTGAAGGTCTGGACAGCAGGCTCTGGGCCAGCATTCCTGTTTCACACCTAATATTTTCTTTCTTTCTTTACCTCAGAAGTAAATACATAGCTTTTCAGACAGATTTTAAAGGGTGTTGAGGTGTAACTCCTGTTGGGATCATCTAGAAGCATTTCAAATGTTTCAGTAATTATTAAAAAAAATGCTGAATTGATTCAACCTGGATAAATAGGCTAGCAGAGGAAGTACGTATGCAGTTGACAGAGCTTACATCTCTGCCTGCATGCTCCAGGTTCTTCAGCTGTGTCCTGGGATGACACTTGACTTGATGGGTTTGTTGTATTTCCTAAGTCAGTCAATCTCACTGGTGTGCCACCATGACTTCTGGCAGTATTGGCGTGCTTTACCGGATGCTGAAGTGAAAAGACTTTTGTTCTAGGTAGCAAATAAGTTAACACTGTAATGTCAATGCTATTTTATGGCAGGTTTACACCATCTTCTCTTTAAGCTGGTTTAGCTATACGATGTAATCTCTGCATAAAGTAATTATTGAGGTCATACTTTCCCTTTAGCTAGAAAAAGCTTTTTACAAGTCAGTAACTTCTAGTTAGGGTATAATATTTCAAAACACAAGTTATCAAAAAAGAAATCATAGGGTGGTCACATAGAAACTGTAACTGTGAAGGTGAACTTACAGTTGCGTGAACAAATTGGTATTTTATGCAAGTGAGTAGCGGGATGTGCCACACCAGCTGAGTCCACATGGTTTTAACTAATTCAGCATGGTCCAGCTCATGGCCTGTGGGCTGAATCCAGCCGCTTTGTGAGGTTTCTGCCTGACCCATCACCTTCTCACTGCGGGAGACAGGGAACAGATGCTTCCTTCAGCAAATGCAGCCTCCTCCACCTGCCCTCTCTAGGGAGATAAGTGGCGAGTCCAAAGGGGCATAAGGAAGGGCAAACAAGCCCGTGAGGGTTGTCAGCACCTCCGCCTGGCTCCCGCAGGTGCTGCCATTGGGCCAGCTGCAGCGCATCTGTGTGCGCAACTGTGTGTATTAGCCCATCCTGGACACTCATCCGTATGTTTTTGTGTGCATGGAAAGCTCATTCCTCTCTTACAAACAGAACAAAAGTCTGCTGTTACATGGACAAAGCAAAATGTAAGGCTTTTGCTATTGTTTATTGACTTACTACGTAATCAGCATATTGAAAATTATTTTTATTCTACTTTGAAAAGTACTTCTGCTAGGCATTTCTTCTATTACTCTTTTTTGATTCTATGAATGTGTAGTGAACAGTGTAAAGCAAAGGGTACTTGTACGCTTGTGAATGTAAAGACATTTAGATTTAGAAATTCTGCAAAGCAGTGTATTTACTTTACGTTTCTGAATGGTAGCAATTAAAATTCCCAGCTGCTGGCTGTCCAGATGTTTCCTGCATTACAGCATTGTAATTTGCATTGGAATATATTGTGTTACTGCAGTGGCTGTAAAGTGGTCAGTTCTCACAGTCAAAATGCTATATACAGGCTCCAGTTGGGATGGTGAGCGTATTTCCTGCTCATACGAGGTTCTTCTCCTTCCCACTGTTTCCCCGCTGCTAGCTTGACACGTTTGTATTTCTCAGATTAAAACTTTTACTGCTCGGCGTTCAAATCAAGCAGGGGGTGTATTGGCAGGTCAGAACTGATGTATGAATGGCTTCTTGTAAGAGTGATACAGAAAAAAAGACCCAGGTTTTGAATCAGAAGTTTCCCTTTCCCTTTGGCATTTTCAGGCAGCAAACATTCCTCTGGTGTCAGAGCTTGGCATTGATGATATCCATTTTGATGACTTCTCGCTTGATGTGGATGCCATGATTACTGCGGCCCTGCGGATGTTCATGGAACTTGGAATGGTTCAGAAATTTAAAATCGACTACGAGGTAACCATCTGCACTGCAGAGATGTCTGCTGCTTTTCTCTTGGCACTGCTCTGTCCATTTGTACACATTTAGTAGCCCTGATACAACTTGTACTTTTCATTTCAGACACTGTGTAGGTGGCTTTTGACAGTTAGGAAGAATTATCGAATGGTTTTGTATCACAACTGGAGGCATGCTTTCAACGTCTGCCAGCTCATGTTTGCCATGTTAACTGTAAGTATTCAGCTACAGACGCAATCCCGCAAGAGCTTTTACTGCCGCATTGCCTTACCTGTGTAAACATTTTCCAACATTTCATTTCTTTTTAGTTATTATGATACTTATTAATTTCCAATAGAAATGCCCATGGAATTAGGTTATTCAACTTAAGGCTGCACATATTTGGCAAAACCTTATAGTGTTTTAGTGACAGTGATATCACAGGCACATTAAAGTGACTGAAAACAGATGGCAGTCTTGGAATGAGCTTGTTGTTATAGATCTTGATCTTAGAGAAGTGTTTTTCTTTTGGAACTCTTTGATTTGACATTTATTTCAGACTCTTAAATTGGGAAGTACAAAAGGAAGGAAGATTAGAATCCCAGAAGTATTTATTATGGTGATATTTATTACCTTCTTATCTAGCTTCATCTGCATAGTTGTAGAAGGTATTGCCTTAAAACATTTTAAGATTATCTTCTGACATAGTGATATAAGTGAATCTCATGTCTCTGTTGGACACCGTAACACTTCTGGGTTTTAACATATATCTCCATCAGTACCAGTAACTCTTCTCAGCATACAAGTAAATTCTGTTGAAAGTAACACTGCTCTTACTCGCTCTGTCTCCGTACCCCACAGCAACCTCACTGCATTAAATAATCCATGTTTGGCTAGTTAATTCTTGCAAAGGTATCAATAAAAAGCTCTGTGGTCCTGTATGTTTAATGTTCTAGTTAATATGGTAAAAGAGAAGCAACATGTCTGTGTGCATACAACACTGTCCACTGTACTTTACTTTTTGGGTTTGCCTTATCTCCAGATAAAAATAATTCAGGTCTTTCTATTTTTTCTTCGTGTTCAGTTTTAACGGCCAGAGTAATCTATTGTTAACCTTAAAGTGGTCATATCAATAGCACCTGTGCAAGTACACATTCATCTGGGATATCATGTGCTTGTTCCCTAGTTTTTAATCCCTGAATGTTGACGTTCTTGTTGCTGGCCGGTCTCTGTGACGTGGTTAGCTTTTGGACCCTGTCTGTAGAGGTGGAGACTCCACAGCTTGTGCCATTTGCAGCACAGGTCAGCGCCGTGTTACGTGGACTTGAGACAGTCTGTGGCCTGTTTCCTGCTCACAGGGCACAGCTCTCTTGTGTGTGGGTTCCCAGCTGTCCTCCTCCATTTGGCATCGTCTCTGTGGCAGAACTTTATGTGTCAAGTGAGAAAAAACAGAACATGACATCTTCTAGCAGGTAGATGTCGGTCTAGCACTAGGTCTGTCCCAGCTACGTGGGTTTGTTTCTGTGAACATTTACGGAGGCATAGCAAAGTTGTACTGCACGCTGTGAGACAAAGGAAATGAGATGTTCAACAAGAGAGAAAGGTCACCTCTTCTTCCGGGCCTGAGGCTGTTCAGCTGAGCAGAATTAACAGCGTCTCAGCAGGCATTTTCTGATGATCTGTAATGAAATGTCATGGTAATGTGTGGGTATCGGTCATTTTTAAAGTTTTATAAACTTGACATGCTTTATTTTTCAGTTATAGAAAAATGAAAAGCTTTTTACTCTGAGCAGTAAGGGCGAAGTCAGGCAGTGCCGTTCAGCTGGGAATTACATTGATTTCTGACAAAGGCTACCTACCAGGGGATGAGAAGCCCTCAAACCTCACCCCTGAGGACCTCTAGGTGGAGCTCCGAGGCCAGATTTTCGCAGGTTGGTTGGTGGGAAACGCTCTCCCCCACCGGGCATCTCCATCTCAGCTGGCGGTGACTACATTGGCAGGCAGCAGGCAGAAAGCAGATCCCCGCTGCTTCAACAGCCACCAGCAACCCTGCGAGGCCTCAGCCATAAACTGCTTTAACTGTGGTTCTCAAAGCATAATTTCAGGATCCTTTTAGCAGTCAGCACAGGAACACAACTGTCTGAGGGAGGTGATCTGGGATTTTCAAGTCAAGCTCATTTCATTGCCCACACTCCTGGTAATAAACCAAATGAGCAATTCCACATGCAGGGCTGGACACGCGTGCCCACGGCATTGGGCTCGCCACGCATCCCACCCTGCTTCCAGAGACAGGTGGGCTGATCTTGTGAAAAAAGACACAGAAGAGAGAGTCAAGATACTAGTAATAGTACCAGGCTTGCTCTTACTGCATGTGTCTTGGGGAACCATCCGCGCTAGTAGGTGCCTTGTTTTTTCACTTGCAAAAGGGGTGTAATTCTTTGACCATCAGAGAGGGACTCTGACAGTCAAGAAGGCAGTGATTTGTGCAGTTATTGCACCCTATTCCTGATTTCTCCATGACAGTCAGCAATATGGACTGCACCACAAATATAAACCCATAGGTCTATTTTAGGGCATTTTTAGGTAGGATTTACCATAGCATAGTACTGTCTAATCTGTAATGTGGTAGCCTCTGTGGCCTGTCCATGCTCCCACTGAATGCCGAAGAATATTCATCTGGGTTGAACAAGCCAAACAACAGAAATTCAACAAAGCTTAAACCAGTTGTTTTGCTCCTGGGTCAGCCTTCTCCATATCTAAGGTATGTTCCTGTATATCTAAGTAGACATTTTCTCTCTCCAGTTAGACACTGATGAGTTATAAGCCCAGTCCTGCGAGCCGTACTTCGGTATTTCAGACTCGCCCGAATAGTGTGAGGGCAAGCACTGCAGGAAGACTGCTCCTGCCAGTTAAGGACATCTCATGAGAGTAAACTGCAGGATCAAGCCCAGGCTTTGTTAGCAGCGCCTTTGCCTAACAATGTTCACGTTGATACTTATTTCAAAAAGTAAAAATGAAAAAGTAAAAGTAAGCAATACAAAATTAAAATCCTATCTGGTGTGCTAATAGCAAAACGTATAAATGTGGGGCGAGGTATAATGGATGCGATTCATTTCCTCACATGAAAGAATGACCTCCATAACTCACTGGAGACTCTGCCACTCATGAGTTATGGGTCATTCCTTTTCTGGTGAAAATAAATTTTACTGCACCGTCATCTATAGCCATGTATTTTTTCTCTCTGTGTAAATTCAAAAGATTGGGAAATGTAATTCTCTATTTTCTTGCATTAGGTTCAAAGCAGATATCCCCTTACTATAACATTGTTTTAAATTAGATGTTTTTTTAGTGAAATGTACTATATTTCTCTCATATATTCAATGACAAGACTTTTGATTAAATAAAATGTTGCATTTATTTTTGAGATATTGCTACCGTTAATAAATTACTTAATCGACTTTCCTGCATTTGTGATACAGGCTGAATCCTTGAGTTTAATCAAAGCTTGTGTTATGCTAAAGAATATTTATTACAGCATCAATTTTATTTTCTAAAACTTATATTTTAAGTTGTTTTAACTTAGCTATGAACGTTTTCTCTAGATTGAAACTTGACATATGGCATGTTGTCAGTTACAAAACTGTTTTAAACCCTTTTCTAAAAATAGATCTTGGCTATTATTTTGATTATATTTCAAAAATAAAAAAAGAAAACGCTGTCTTTTAGAGAATTTCCTCTGCCTGGGTAGCTGTTACTGAAACTAAAAAAAAAAAATGGCACTAGAAATCAGGAGAATCTATTTCATAATATTCAAGTTACTCTGTACACCAGTGGATTCTATACAAAAGGAATCTTTTTTCCTCATATTTGATCATCTTTTCTGATATGTAAACTTTGAGTACAATTATAAAGCTTTTGTAGCAAGTCCTGCACTTCCTCAGTTCCCACTGAAATGCATTCCTGAGCACCTGGGGGAACCTGGCTCCCTGTACTGTCTAAATATTAACTGCAGCCACATTTCAGACTATAAAAACAGGGGCTGTTTGGATTTGAATGGGCACTTATTTAAGTAGAATTTGTGGTCTTCAGGGTGAATAGCAATGTTTTCACGTGGTATTGCTGAAATTGACTGGCATTTCTGACTGGGCTGTAAGTTCCTACCAGGTAAGGACATCAAGTCCCACTGACATTCACTGTCTTTGTATCGCTTAACCCTCTTCTTGCCAGTGGATGAAATTATGCCCCATTGAAAAGCAATGGAATTCAGGATTTCTTACACACTGTTAGTGTTCAGCCTTGGTTTTGTCCTCCAATATAAATGTATTTTACATTCTTTTTATATAATTTCCTTTCATACTGACTAGATTGTGTGGCAGATTAAGGAGTGTCATTGGAGACTGGCACTGTGGAAAGACAAGTGTTAACAATTTTAGAGCTCAGCCAGTCGTTTTTGCAGGCATTATGCCTTTATGCTTTTGAGGAGTTGAAGAACCAGGTTGTTTCTGCCATGGGTAAGATGCATGGCACCAGAGAGGTAGTGTGTTCTACGCAGGCTCCAGCACCTCCTCCAAATGGGATCTGTTCAGGATGCTTGAGGTTAGCAATAGCAGTCGTGTTTCTTTTCTGATGTGAGGCAGTTCAGGCAGGAAAACTGCTATGGCAAGTGTCCACAAGGAGAAGTAGAGTGGCAAAAAAATGTTTCTAGTCTCAGCTCCCCCATTCACATGAGCGTTTCCGGTCTGAGCTGCTCGTGGAGAATTTCAGTACATCAGTTTTCAAAATTCTCTCCCAAATTCAAGTGGGGATCTGCAGCAGAAATATGACATTTGAGACATTTCCTCTTTAAATCATGCTGCTTCATTTCATGTGTCCCAGATAACAAATCTTTTAATAGTTCCTAACAGTTCCATAGAGTATGTTTTAGCTGGCTTCTTTTAAAGGTCTTTTAATTTAACATCTCAGCTGTCTCTGACAATAGGGATTGACTAAGATGGTCACCTCAGGATTGAAGAAATCTGTCTAGATACTTCTCTGAACAATAATTTCAAAATGGAATAAATTTTGGTTTGGATTTCTCTGATATTAAATTCCAGTTCCTGTCTTAGCACGTAGTTGTTGGTGTTTGTTTTCAGCTCTTTTCGCCTTTAGTGCCTTCTGGGTAGTGAAGAAATGGCATGCTGGAAATGCAACAGAGAGATAATAACAGATCACTCCAAGGACGCTATCTGTTCTGCTAACCATCTAACATACAGCAGGGAATATAATATGACAATAAAGCATTTATCTTCTTCTTACTGAAACGTTCATGGTATCAAAACAAAGTTGACTGTTGCTCGATGGACTAACATTACTTATCCCTCTTGCTACTGATAGTTACAGCTGCTATTTTTTTTCTGCTCTCAGACTGCAGGATTTCAGGAGATTCTAAGTGAAATTGAAATTTTAGCTTTGATTGTGGGATGCTTATGTCACGACCTTGACCACAGGGGAACCAACAATGCCTTCCAAGCCAAGTAAGTTTTCTAATTCTTATTATTTTAATTTGTTTTTCTTCCACAGAAGAGCAAAAGGTGACCAGGATAAAGAATGAAGCATTAATTTCAGGCCTCCTAGGCCAAGGCCAAGTATTCTTATTCTTGTATGTAGTGAGGGGCTATCCATCTTTTTCATTCTCTGTTCTTTTTTGTAATTGCTGGCTTGTCCTTTGTATCAGGCTGTTGAACTGACACCACATATTGAAACGTGGTGCCAAAACTTGATGTTCTTTTCAGGCTCAGGTGTTATTGATTATGGTATTCAACCCAGGAAACACTGTCTGTCTGGGTTGTTCTTGCTGGCTGGAATGCATGACATGAAGCAAAACCTTGTTCAACTATTAAGGCAAAAGAAAATAGGTAAAACTGAAATAAGGCTTTCACAAAAACTTTCACACCAGTAAAGCATATATAAAGTAATTCCTAGTCTATGAAGTATGAAACCGCTGCCATCATGCTGGACCTCTGATGCATATTGTCCACAGCAGGAGACTGGTGTAGTTGCCTCACCACATATGTTGTGGAGCATGCAGGGTCCCTGGTCTGCCCCACATGCCAGAGCAGAGCCTGTTTGGAGACATGCTGCTGTGGGGCAGGGGTGGGATGGCCACCCCCTGCAGTGGTCACTACCCACCAGAATACAAAGCTGGATCTCAAAGGCAGATTCTTACATCACCCATGTGAAATCCTGCTCTCCAGACCATTTTCAATTATAAAAATGAATTTTATTCTACTCAAAGTGCTTAGGACCTGATTCAGCAGCCCTGACTTGCATGTTTTTTTACTGTTCAGGCTGCTGCCTGCAGACACAGTGAGGCAGAAGCAGGTTTGTGGAAGGTTTGAGGGTACCTCTTCTTGGTAAGGGAACACCCGTGACCAAGGTCAAATTCTTTCCAAAATCTGCATTACCTGAGAAGAAGGGGGGACAACAGGAAATGTCCCCTGACAACATCCTGGTCAAGATGTGAAATAAAGCTGTCAGACACAGAGACTCCTCCAAATTCCATGTTGTTTTCTTGACTCCCTAGGTCACCTATAGTTAGAATACGACACCTTGAAGCTCTCTTGTCCTACAGATCCCAGTATGCAGTTGCAGCTTTGTTCTGCATTACTGCTAATCCTCCAGTGTGACAGGGAAGTGGTCAAATGGTTGTCTAAAGATATTTGAAAGACAGGGTGATGTTGTATTAGGCTATTCTGTCCTACCTTTTGCAGAAATACTCTGCTGCAATGTGCGTGTGCATGGGCTGCAGCATTTCTGGGAGCAAGTTGCCTCTGTGAACATCACTCTGACTGATGTTTCTGATACTCGCTAAGCTGCCATTTCCTGAGCTATTGGTGTTGCTGTACAGTCTCAATGAAACAATGACACTGTCTGGATCTTCAATCACTATAGCAAGGAAAATCAATTGCAGTGCTCAAAAGACAGAGCTCGTGGTGCAAAGGTTACCAAGCACTGCTAGATGCCTTTTTGCAGCTGAGTCTTGAAGAGAATCAAAAAAGACGAGACAAATGGGAAGGAAGCTCATCTGATTGATGTTTATGTTCCTAATTTACAAAAACGAGACCTAAGATTTACATCCTGACCATTTTAGGCTCTGATTAAGTTAACCACTTCTCCACTGTAACATTACCCACCAATATTTCTTGTGCCAGAGGGATGGCTGAATTAAAGGTAGAGATTTCAGCATTAGACTGCTATCACTTATACTTGTTGTTTGACAACGGAGTACAAAGAGGAGGCTGCCATTTTACGACTCCATAAAGAAATTGCTGAAGACATTTAACAAAAGACAAACATTACCACACATGTATAAAACATCTCTGAAAACAGAAGCTGTAGCTTTCATAACAGCAGCTATGATTTACTCCTCTAAGCGGACATAAATTTTAAGCATCACATTTTCCTATTTTATCTTCAGTGTTCAATACTGCTGTTCTGTGTGATGAAAGTTCAAGAGGTATGTGATGGAAGCAATCTCACAGTTGTCTGAAATGCCTCTGTTCTTTATCTCAACACCACGTTCTCTAGGGATGATGTTTCCTGGACATCCTTCTCTCTAATATAGCTGCTTCTGATAATTAGATAGCAGTATGGTGCAGTTTTATAGTATATGCTCCTAGGAGACTCTTTCTGTTTGTCTCTAGCATAATCTCCTAAACTCATTTCTTTGGAAAGAAACCCATCTTGTTGCTTTAAGCTGGGACTCAGAAGCGAAATAATGGTGAACAGTAACTATTCTGACAATCCAGTCCCGTTCTCTGCACCTCCCAATGATTCACAATTTTATAATTGCGTTCTGTAGATTTTTATTCTTTAAACTTAGAAAACCCACCTACTCTGTGTATTTTGAATCTGATTTTGGTTTAGAGAATAAACACAAAGAGAAAATTCTGAAGAGATGCTAAACTTTTCTACTCACTGCTCTCACTTGTGTTTTTTTGTTTACCTTAGTATTTTTTTTAAGTGCATGATTTTGCGTGCAGACAGAACCTCACTGCATTTGCAGTTGGTTTTTTTAAACCAACCAAGTGGTTTGAGGTTTTTTAAAGAGTTTGTAATCACCCATTGTAAGCCATTGTGTTTATATCTATTAAGGATTTTAAAAAGTAGTAGCAGAACAGTCGGTCCTAGCTCAAGGACATTACTGTTTGTCTTTACTGCACAGTGGTATGCCTGTGCTGCTGCATCACTGAGGCACTTCGAAAGTTGCATTACAAAATTTCATGTAGTTCCAGGAAAATCTTTAGGCAGCTGATGATGTTTAGCAAAAGGTCTGGAACATAAATGCTTGTATCTGGCTTTAAATTAGTATTTTGGTCTTGTCAACAGTCTTAAGTGTGGTTGCTGAAATGGAGAGGGAGTGTGGCTACATGCTTTCATTACTAAATTGTCTCTGAAACCTGCTTCGTAAGCAGACTAGCAGTATTTGTTGACTCTCCGTGTTCTGTTTCAGGAGTGGATCAGCCTTAGCTCAGCTCTATGGCACCTCTGCTACCTTGGAGCACCACCATTTCAATCATGCTGTCATGATTCTCCAAAGTGAGGTACAAAAGCCTTACTATTAATCTCACTGTAAGCTGTTGGGCAGTTTCAGCCGGAGAAAGGAAATACCACACACAGTACCTTTTTAGTGCCCTCTCCTTGAGGAATTATTTATTGGTTACCACAAAGGTCACAACTAGCACAAAATTAAACAACTACAAATGCTGATCATAGAGCTCAGAGATTATATTTGTCTCAATCAGCTAGGGGCAAGGAGAACATATCCTAATCATATTGTCAGCTTTTCTCAGTCTTCTTGCATATATCCTGCTCAGTGGTTTATAGGCAGGTGAAACAAGCGCTCAACTTTCCCCACAGGTGTTGTAGTCAGAGTATCACAGTCATCCTTTACTGGACCAATTGAATTTATTTGACAGTTTTTCTGTAATCAGTATTTTTATGATGGTTTTGCATAATTTTACTAATGATTTTTTAAAAATTAATATCAGTAATATTGTGCTGTCCAGAGTACACTAGTTGCTTTGCAGAAACGTATAAAGACATAGTTCTTGCCTAGAGTATCTAGACAAATGGGAACAGGGTGCTGACTTTACCTCTGCCTACAGTGCCATGGAGATGAGTCACGGGACTGTGGCTTTAGTGTTCAGTTTCTCAACGTTATATTTAAAAAGTAGGCATAGGAAAGGAGAGCACCAGCATGAGATTTAAACAGCTCAATCTGCTTATCCTAGCCTAGCTTATCTAAAAGGTGATACCAGAAATTAAATGGCTCCTTATACTGCTAGGGAAAGGTGTAAGAAAAAGCAGCATTTGAAAGTTAAACAGACTGGTTCAGAATAGGAAATGTTGGGTTTTTTTCTAAACCAATGAGACTGTTCAGCCCCTGGAACAAGCTTTCCTGGGAAACAGTAATTTCTCTAGTGACTGAATGTCTCTGTAAAGATAGGCTCAAGACAGGCAACTCTGTGAAAGTTTATAGCTCAGGTCAGTCTAGATGCTTTTCTTTATCTTTTCCAGCTTAAAAATAAAACTAAAAAAAAAAAAACTTTTTTCCCTTGGAATCTACTCCAGCTTCTTTCAGAAATGTAAAATATTACTTGAAATGTAAATCTTCTGCTTTGATCATTCAGGCAGCTTCTTCTCCAGGTCCTCATTTCTAGACCAGAAAATTAATCCTACGGGATTTTTACCCAATAGATACTCTTTGCTAATGGAACACAACACCCCTTGGTTTGGAATAAATGCAGATTTGGATCCTCCAATCTACTTTCACCAGCTGAGCAGTTGGTCTCCTCTCTCAAATTAGCTGAAATGAGATTATATCCCATCTAGTAATTCTAGTCTGTCTTTGCTATCTAGAAGGAAACACAGTATATTCTATTATTTCTTTAGATTTTTATCATGTTGGACAAGGGAGCTGTTTATCCTTTACTCTTGACACACTAACCTCAGTATAAGTGATCTTGAGCTTTGCCGTGACATGGTTTTTATACACAATGAAACAGGTCAGAAAGGCAACAGTTATTACAGAATAACAGACAACTTGCTAAACAACCCCTGTTGTAAGAGCTGCTATTTTCCTGATACGTTTTCCTTTATTTTCTTCTTAGTACTTTGTTTTTAAAATTATTTTTCATAAATAAGCCTTAAGATTCTCAAATCCATCTCAATTTTTAGCTGAAAAGAAATAGTCATTTCATTGTCCCAGAGAAGACCCTCTTTTATGCTTGGAAAATTATTTTTTAGACCAACAATTAACTTATCTATTTAAAAATACCATCTCTACCTCCAGACTTTATCTCATCTATGTCCTCAGACCATCATGGTGATAGCAGTCCCCTTGCTGGAAAATTCTTGGTTTTAAGGGCACCCTAATCTTCCTAAGCAGTAGATGGCAGTGCATACTGAACGTGTGCATTACAGTGCTAAATGCCACCAAAATAACCACTTAGCAAGAGAACCTCATCATTCCTATAGGTCATTAGAAAAAAACCAACCAAACAAAAAACCTGTAGTACTTTTATTTATGTTAATTTAGTTATACGTGACTAATGTCACGAAGACCACTTTTTAAGCTTACATTTAGCATTTTCCATTAATTTTGTTTCTGTCAGCTTATTTTCTCTAGGTTTTTTTATTTCATAAATAAATTGTAATATCTCTATCCTTTTTAGTTTTCAGAAATTCAGTTACAAAAGGAAATAACAATGTTAAATAATTTATTTCCTTTCGTTCTGGCTGTGCAGCACCTTTCAGATTTTAATCCATGGTAAAAAGTAGCCTGTTGGGCCTACAGAGGGCCTTTAAACTGCAGAGAGTTGCGGTTCTTTAGCCTGTGTAGGCAATGCTTGTACGCACTGCAGGCCAATACGGCAATGGGCTGTTTTGAATGAAGCACTGATTTAGTGTCTGGATGCTCTAACAGCAGTTTGTGTGCCTGCAAGCAGCAGCACAGATAGATCTATGAGGAGCACAACTCAAAACCAACAATGCACAGCTCCCCAAAACATTTAATAAGAGGAAAGATTGAGATGTATCCATAGTTTTTCCCCATAAAATGAGTCTGTGCAGGGTCAGAGCAAAGAGTAAATCTTTCCTCAAGAGGCTGTAATTTCGGCGGAGTTTAGAAAAACATCCCAGGTGCTTGATTACTACCATCAACTCTTCCACCCCAATATAATCTCAGCAGTATTAACATTATTATTTTGTCATAGTTTTGCCATGAATCAGAAAAGGCCTCTGTCACAGGGAAACAGTAAAGAGTTAGAAAACCTTTTAAAAACCTATATTGATTGTTAGCCCTTTACCTCTTTTATCTTTCATTATAGGGTCACAACATCTTTGCTAACTTGTCCTCTAAGGACTACAGTGACCTTATGCAGCTTCTAAAGCAATCGATACTGGCAACAGACCTCACTCTGTATTTTGAGTAAGTATTGGCATTTCTTGTATTTGACAAATGAAAATTCGAAGAACTTACTCTAATGACTTATTAAATACCAATAAGGATATATAATATGAGAAATTAATGTTTAGCTGTGGTTGAAGAGATTTAGTCTAATATTTAGTATATCTTAGGCTAACAGAAATATCTCAAGTGTCCAAGTGAGTTTTGTTTTAATGTGTAAAATGTCTATATCAACAAAAAGCAAGTGAAATCCTAGGCTTATATTTCAAACCAATCCCAGGAATCAGTTACAGCTCAGTCCCATAATTCTTCTGCCCCTTCTGTGATCATTTCTTCAGGCATGTAGAAAATCAGTGACATGTTAGAATTCTTTTCCACCATTTCAGAGTTTCTAAATATGTATGCCAAAAAATGTTATGTTTAGTTACAGTCCCAGTTGTAGAGGTAATGAACGCATACGCATTGCTGCTTCGAAGACAAGTTATGCCAATTTGCGTCAGATGAGAATAGGTCTTAAAAACCTTAACTCAAGAGAAGTATATTAGGATCTCTCTTGTTCAGTTTTCTTCCTGTTCCTTGTTTGCAAATCAAAACTGTAAGTAACCTTCAAATTGGTGCTATTTTATGTTTTCCAAATACTGATAATTATTACCAAGCTCTTCCAAGTGAGACTGTGGGGGAGCGTGCATGTAGTTGGAGAAGTCGTGTCACCATCATATTGCACTTTTGACATCCCCCTCTCTGGCACATGCCTGGGGCTGACTTACAAGGAGAAGTGCTGTTGGATGTGCAGTTTCAGTGTACTACCTTCCCAGCCTTCATCCTTAAGAATTTCTGTTTGATGTCCATTAGCATCCTATCCCATACAGTGCTGGGTAGCATTTAGTAATTGTTTTCTTAGGGTAGTATACCTGGATTCTGCCCCTCCTTTGTGCTCATGGTTGATACCAAACCACGTTTCCAGAAAACTTCAGGCAAAGTCTTTACCCTGAAATTGTTCAACTATCCATATTGGCATTGTATTTTTAACTGTAATTGTAAAAATACTAACTGGGATGCTGCAATGTTTGCTTTGTCTTTTTTTCTCAGTATTTGGTTACTGTGCCAAGAGCTGTTTCTAAACAGTACTGGCAGTAGACATGCTGATATTCTTTGTTTCCTGCAAGTCTGTTCTCAGGGAAGTTGTATTAAAACAGGGTTTTAATGAATAGTGGTATTATGAATAACATCTAAACATTAGTCCATGAAGAAATTTCTACCTGCTGACATGAAAATCCTGAGCAGGATAAATAAACCCTTTTAAGTGTACTCTTTTTGGAGCTGTCTGTTAGGATCACTTGTTATCTGGGGGGCTGGTATGATGGAAGAATTTGCTGACAGCTTTAAGTGAGATACGAGGACCACAGGGATGTGGCAGTACAGCTTCTCCCATCTCACCACAAATAAAAAGTGCTGCAGAAATGTTTTGTGCTGTCAAGGAAGAGATGAGTGGCAGGGGCTGAGAGGACAGCTGCCCTGGCACAGCCCCATGTGCTCCCCCTGGCCAGGATCCCACAGCCCCTGGAAGAGCCAGGGAGGGCCCAAAGCAGTGCCTTGGGAGAGAACCCAGGCCAGACCCAGATGTGATGGAGCTCTCTTCCCTGCCTGCCTTAGGTTGAAAAACTAGATGGTCAAGTTGTCTTTCTAGTTTTAATATAAAGAAATAATGTCTCAAAAAGGGACATCAGCTGAATTGCAAGATTATTCTACTCGGCTTGCATAACTGATTTTTGTGTGCTACATGAATCAGAAAACTTTTAGCAAATAAGGCCTCTTTACTCAGCAGTCTGCAAAGAAGTTATCTTTTCCTCTTGTGTTATTATGATTTATTAATCAGGTAGCTGTTATTCTATTTTACTTCCAAAAGTGCCTGAATATCACTCCCTGGGAACATTGATGAGTTACACCTCTTAGAGACATTCTATGTGAACAGATGTTTCCACACAAGTACCTAACTTGTTTTTTCAGTTTGCTATGTCTTCAATATTTTTGTAGAGAAGGAAATTCTTACATCGGTATTCTTAGAATGCCTAAACCTAATGAGGACAAAGTCCAGCTAGCCAAACAGCAACAAAACTGCAGGCAGAGCAAGGCTTTATGACCTTCTCAAGGCACTACTTTTCCACAAACGAAAAGATTACTTTCGGTGAAAGATCAGATGGAAAATGTACTTGATTTTTAGTAGATAATTCTAGATAATGATGCTTGTAGATAGTACAACAAGCAAAAGCATAGAACCAAAATGAAGTAAGTTTATGGAAATTCACTCAAATGATGTCTTGAGCCGCTGGGCTGTAGAGTAACTGGATGTGCTATATACCAGATGTGCAAGACAACTTTCCCTTCCAGGCCAAATACAACCAGAGTCAATGTTACTCAGACATTGCAAAATTGTTGTCATTCTGTTTATTTCTGAAATCCTGGCATATTACATTTGCTTAATAGTAGCAAACCTCTTCGTTTTGGATACCATGCATAAGCAACCATTAGGAAACACTAAATTGTTTACTTATAGGTGGCTGCTTTCCTCAGGTTGACTCCTTCCTGCCCTAGAAATTATCTGTGGAGCATTTAAATCCATTTAAATGGATTTCAAATAAAATTCTTGTTTTAAAGTTTTTCAGCTTAACATAAGGCCTTCAAACTCACATTTTCAGTTACTGTTTATGGATCTCCATATTTTAAATGTGAATGGTTGAGGTTTCTGGGATGTCATCTTCCTGAGCTTTTGGCTTTAAACAATTTTGCCTGGTTTTTGTCCAATAACATATTAATCGCTCAGAATATCCAATATTTCAAAATGAAATCATTACCAAATTTTACATTGTTAGACTGGGCACTGAAATACAGGATGCAAAAATCTACTGCTCCCTCTCTTAATAGAGTATGTAGTTGTTGATGATCTGCTCAGGATTAGGCTGGTTTAAGGTTTATGTGCCAGCTACTCTTGGCCATTAGAATTTTCATTGTTGCAATATTTATTGTGCTGGAGCCATGATGCTATGACTTTGTGTGAGAGACTTGAATTTTGTTTTCTGCATGTGTGACTTTGTGTTGTCCCAGGAAATTTTGTAGCACAAAACTCTCTTATATATCTTATTTCATTAAACACGAGGGATTAGATGTTATCATGTAGTCCTTATAACTCCCTGTTCTAGCTTCTGTCATGAAATCCATTATAGAAGGGCCCTATAGCAGGAGTGACTGGTCACAGAACACGTGACAGTCGGGGACCAGAATAATGCAACATGCCTCACATAAAATTTTGTCCATTGATCAAGGGCAGTGTTCATGGAAGTATGCATCTCCTCATGTGTAGAACCTGTACTGGCTGCCATCAGACTGTGCTTTAATAATCACTGTTCAAAACTGCAGTCTAGCTGAAGTAGATGTAGAAAATACAAGACTGCAAAATGTTTTCTTGTTGGGGAATCTAACCATGTTTCCACTTGACAAAGAGATAGCACAGTCTCCTATGAGATAGGGCACTGGACTGTCACTCAGAACGAAGTATTTGCTTTCCAGCTTTGCTGCTAATATGTTGCATCATCCTGGGCAAGTTGCTCTGTATTTTTATACCTCAACTTCCGCTATACCTGAGGCAGGATCTGTTTCATTTTGTAGTCACACAGCGTGTAATGAGAGCCTCTTGGAGTCTCGGTACCATAAAAAGTTGCAGACTATGATGAGTCAGAGTTTTGGTACTTAAAGGCACCAAACAAACATCAACATGTTCTGGCTCACATTTCTTCTATCTTGGAGAACATAAGCGAGATATTCCAGAAGACGAGGCAGAGAGACCTAGTTTCTAGTCAGTGAGAAGTACTAACTTGAGACATCTACAGCTCCTGTGTCTTACTGTTCTGTTCTGTGTGCTGGAAATAACAGGAATTGCGCGTCTCTGAAAAGCCCTTTAGGTTCCAGAAGTAAAAATCATGTTGCAAGGACATGTAAAGAGAATTGTTTATATATTTCAGGGTTGTTTCTATTGTCTGTCTATCCACTGCTGTAGTTGAACATTTCATGCTTCCATGGTAGACTGAACATTTTGGTACCATTTATTTCCTTATCTGCAGAGACCATAAATACAATATTGCTTTTACTAGACAACTCTGACATTGATAACAGACATTTATAGAACACGTTCGGAAATTAGTATGTTTCGCTTAAATGGACTGTCAGTGTAACGACTTTAACAATAATGCATGAGGTGCAGTGATTTTGTATCATCCAGAGAACTGTGTTGCTACTGCAGTGCTACCCTGGAAGTGTCTTGTTTCCTTCTCTGATAATCTGTTTTGTTGCAGGAGAAGGACCGAGTTTTTTGAACTTGTCAGTAAGGGTGGTTATGATTGGAATATAAAAAACCACCGAGAAATATTTCGGTGAGCACTTCTACTTCTTACTTTCTGGTAATTTCAAAGTGTAGCCATATTTGTTTAAGGAATTTCATATATCATGGAGCAAAGACTTAGAGTAACAAGAGAAGGTAGCTTGTTTTAAAAATATGATGCATGATATGAAATATATGGTATGATTTCTAAACATTAGCAAACAGCGGGACTGTGATCAGTGTGACCTCACCTTCACAGAATCACGGAATGGCATAGGTTGGAAGGGACCTTAAAGATCATCTCACCTTCTCCATCTTTCACACTCGATCATGTTTTCTTCCCTTCTCCCAGCCTCACTGCTCAGCCCTTCTGCTCTTTCTCCAGAAAGCATCAATAATCTGCCTCAGGACACAAAGGTCTTTCCTGTCTGTTTCCCTGTTCCCTCCTTCTCTCAGCTGTTTTCTTTTACTGGACATGCTTCTCTCTGCTCTTCTAGTCTGTACCTGGAAATTTGCAGATATATAGTACTCTTCTAGCCCTCACAAATGCTCTGAGCTTGCATCCTATTGGAAACCTCAGACATTGTGGGTGGTTTGAGTACAGCATGCTTTTGAGACAATAAAAGGCATGCACATGCATGCCTGATTATGTCTTGTTTTATCTGAAATTTCATTAAAATTCTGTTTCCTTTTGGTCTTTTGTCCAAAATGTTGGCCATTTTCTATTTTCCATATCATTTCACCCATTCCTAATTTTACATTCAGGCAATATATTTGATGCTTCATTTTCAGTGCCCTTGTTCTTCATTTAAACTTTCTTAGACTTTTATCTGCATCATGTACTGTACATAAACGCTTTCTACAGCTGAATGGTTTCTTTCTCCTAATGCATATAAAACATGGTTGTGGCTAGGTATTAAACTACAGTGGAACAGTATAGCTCATAGTAAATCTTAAATTTTTATTGTAGATGAGCAGTGGAAACTGCTTAAACAGTGTCTGGGATGCCTCCTGTGATTATAGGTTCTCTTGCTACAGCAGTCACTTACAAATAGGCATATAAATTAATCCAGTTTGCAGGTGTTATTATGTAATAATACCCTTGGTTATATCATGTGAAGCATGTGCTTTCTATTATATTATAGGTATTAATGTGAGTAGTGTTAGAAGTGTTGCAAAATTAGCAGTTAATCCCTTGCAATATAATTTCTTTTCTAGTGTACAATGCACAATATCAAAATTCATCATCTAATGACCTGCAACACATTAGGCTTCCTAGGCACAATTGTGATGTAAAAGCCATGCTGATGGCTGAGATTTCAAACATGTCATTCTTTTCTGGAGGAAAAGAAGGTGCTAGGGCTGACATTTTATGTATGTATTATTTATTTATGCATCCAGAGCAGAGTTGTTTAGAAACTCAACAAAGGTTGATTCAGCTTGTATTGTTCATTTCTGTTTTTCAGATCAATGCTAATGACAGCCTGTGACCTTGGAGCTGTGACCAAACCGTGGGAGATTTCAAGACAGGCAAGTCATGATTAATAGCAGGGCTAGGAGGAGGCGGGACTGGCGGGACAATATTCCCAGGGCCCTGACTTACAAGGGACCAAAACTGGAATCAATTTACAGCAGTATTAATGCTATAAAAAAATAGCAGGGGGTTTCTGCAAGAAATGGTTTATTGCATAATCTTTCCATGTACACATGCTGGTGAGCAGCATGTAGGTACCTGAAGAGATCTGGCTGTACAGCCTCTCTTCTTATTAACCTTTTAAATCCATATCAAAAAATGAATGGATTAAACAAAAAAAGCATTAGCCACATGTAGCTGCACTTACTTCTTTTGTCCCAAGGTTTTCCCTGGCAGAGGCAGAATCTTCTCTAAATTAAAAACAGCAGCAGATGATCTGCAAACTTTGATTAACATAAAATGTTCAGTATATATGATAAGAGAAATGTGTTCATTTTCTCAACACTGATGGAAAAAACTGCAAGTGTAGTGTAGAGCCTTCTTTAGCATCCTGGACTTAGAAACAAACAAAGGAAAATTCAGGCTTCTGCTGCTGAGTAGGCTTTTTAGAAACAGACATGAAACTTGGGTCCAGCACCGGCAAACGATTACAATGTGAGAAAGCAGCTTATCCCAAAAGTCTTGTCCTTTACCACACGATTTTCCCTGTTCTAGGCATCTTTCCTTACTCAGCATCCATCCTGATTGTTTCCTATATCCATGCTAATAATTCTCTGCCCTTTACTCAGGTCCAGAACAAGCCAGTAGAAGGCTGTGTAGGGTTTTGGAGGAATATACAGCATCAAGAAGTAAATAGGAAGTACATCAGCGCAGCTGAGTGTGGCTAAGCACCTGGATGAAGTTTGACTGGCTTAACAGCAAAGTGATAGTTAAAAAGATGGGGTGAAAAAGAGACGCTAGACCAGAGAACTAGTGAGGCAGGAGCAGCCAGACTTCTTGGGGAAGGACAAGGAGGTCACAGAAGGTGAAAGGGACCTATGAAAGTTACATGCGCATTAACTCAGTAAGAAAGCATTTATGTGGTGAGGGCTCCAGCTTAGCTTGCAGTTTTGTCAGATGAGTCTTTTTTGCTTTTATAAGCAGACTGTGACAATAGTCCTTCTAAGGCTGTTACTCTACTTGGCCAGAATATGGTCACCTTGCATGGAAATCAAGGAAGTTGCTCATATCCTGCAGTGGGAAAGCAGAAGGAGTCGTAAGATTTTTCAGTGTCACCTGGCCATAGCTGCAGTGTGCACCGTCCCTCCTCATTTTTCCTCTTTAACCCAGTTAACTTCTCCATTTTCTTTGACAACTCAAATGTCAGGTAGGGTCTGTTTTCCATGTTGTCAGTCTTTGTGCTATGGTGCTGAATTAGTGCTGAAGTCTGTGGCAAACTCTTTTTTTTATCCTTATCACTTTTGAGGTCTGCAGGTGAAAATTCCCCTGCAGCCTAGTGTACAGGTTTACTTTATACTGAAAAAAACAGTCTAGGATTGATTGAAACATTACCTGGTTGAGTAGAGAGGCTAAGTAGTCCACAGAGGCAAAACAGGAAATAGTTGGACCTTAACTGTGCCAAAAGCAAAAGAACATGAAAAGTGAGGGAGAAAGAGATTAAAATATATGCATCAAAGGGAATAAAGGCTACATATAAGGCAACAAAATTTAGGAAGAGAAGATAGAAACAGGCAAAAGAAGAGGGGGAGGGAAACAAGGAGAACAGGATCAGAACAGCAGTGAGAGACAAGGGGGAGACTACGTCTTGATTATTGTTATACAATACACTTGGCAAACCCTTAATTGCTGCTAAGTTGTTAAATTATTCCTCTATATCTGGAGTATTGATCCAGAATTTTATTAGTGTGCTGGGATTACATACATTATAGGGTGCCAAACTGTGTGATAGCCTGGCTCAAGATTTAAGAGTACTTTATAACATCACTTCACCTACTTCCAATTTATTTTGGTACTCCTTATTTCAACCGTAGCAAGTTTAGGATTTGTGAATGTTAGCTACCACACAGTTGCTAGAGCAAGAAATTTTGAGATTTCATGAAGTGCAGGTTCTCTCCTTAGTTAACCCTCTTGTGCCTTGGCATTATGAAATCATTTCCCAGCTTGAAAACACTTGAAAACAATAGGCAGGCATGGCTGGTGCTTTAGGAACTGAATGCCATCTTCAGTAGGTAAGTTTCTTTTTTTTTTTTTTTTGGCTCTCAAATGTCACATATGCCAGCCTTCAAAGCCCCACACTTGAGAATAGTACAGTGTATAGAGGCTACTATATCAGGATCACTCACTGATTGACTTCCTAAAATTCCTCTTGTTTCCTGCTAATTTTGTTTTTAAATCTTGTGTTCTCCTGAGAATCACAGAATCACAAGCCTCTGCTGTGAATAGAACATCTTCATTCACAAAAGTCAGAAAGATGCGTTCCAACATCCAACCCACCAGTTCTTGATTTTGATTCAATATGGTAATCACAATCTGAGTTCATATTTAGATATCTGGATCCTATAGTGATGGCAGTCATGAGAAAAAATGAAAGCCTAGTGGGGAAAAAACCCTTTCTGAGCCCGCATTAAATTAAGACAACAGAGGTTATTGGTTAATTAAGTTTCTTTGCTAAGTGAAGCTGTTTATATAGGGCAATAGCCTGTAAATACCCAGAGAGCTTTTGCACATTTTACAAAGCATTTTTACAGACATAATTGAGAATGCAAACAAGAAGCTTGTAATTTTTTATTCTGTTTCAGTACATGGATAAGTTGCATATAACTGCACTGAGTGCTGCCTCGACATTGCAACGTAATTCCCCCTGTCAGTTCCCTATCAGAAGGGGATCAATGTTCCTATCAGCTGGTTATGGTTGTTTATATATACCTGCTGTATGCCCAGTCCTGAAAACTATACAAGCATGTGCCTGACATCAGTCATGTAAGTGGGGCTGTTCACTTCTTGACAGTTAAGCACAAAGCTGAAATCATGGCCTGAGCAAGAACTCATTACCCTAAAAATTTTGTAGGAAGAACTATAATCTTTATCATGATTTATGTTTTAGGCAGCTGAGCTGGTAACCAGTGAATTCTTTGAACAAGGAGACAGAGAAAGATCTGAACTCAAACTCACCCCTTCAGTAAGTTTTTATCACTTCTGAAATAGTTCCTAACTTCAATAGGGTAAGAAAATATCACTGGATTCATTCAGAAAAACTAACTGTATTTTGTATGTGAAGATAAATCTTGGAATATATCAAAGCTCCATCCAATAAGGACATGCATTTAGAGCCATATATACATAGAAGCTCTCCAGTCAACTCAGTCATTTTTGCATTGAGACTTTTTCCCCATTTTCTGTACCTATTCCCAAGGTTATTCAGTCAGCTAATTTTCTAAGCAACAGGTATTGTTTTTAATACACAATATTCAAATAAAAAGTCACCAGCAACTTATGGAAATCAAAATTGTCAGATTTACTTTATGCTGCAGCTGTCTACTGTATTATTTGATGTATCAAATGCTGAAAAGCATTTCTATAGGTATGCAACTAAATATAATACTGTGATTGAAAGGATAAAATGGTATTGAGTGGAATATAGGCAGATGGGTATAAAGTGTCAAACAAGAACAAAGAAAAAAAGTTTAATAGAAATCTTCACTGAACAATTTGAAGAGAAAGCCTTATCCAGGCCAAATACCTCAAAATGTTGACAAGCCATTATCTGGAAGCAACAGGAGAAAGGTAACAAAGTATTCTAAAGAATTTCACTTACACACTATTCACAAATACGTTTTTGTTTCCAAAAATAAAAAGCCCATTCCAGTGGCTCAGACTTGTTCTCACTTTGATAATACTCACACATGAGCCTGTGGTGATGTAAGGAAGTCAGTAAAGTTAAAAAGCTTCTAGTAATAATGCTCAGATACAATAAATGACTTTTCATTTTGTGTACTGTCAGAGGCTGGGACATTAATGGATTTCTTCCTTATAGTAGCTCTGTGTGTACATCATCTCAGAAAAAATGGTAGCTATAGTCCAGTAGAAGAGTAATCAGTCAGTCATGGTATTCACAATTCAGAGACCAGATGTAGGCCTGAATAACTGCAAGTACTATTCCATGTAAGTGCCTTTCCTGCCCTTTATATAAAGTATGTAAAGTGTGTTTTTCATGCTAATGAAGCATAATAGGAAGTAATTTTATTTCAACACATACATTAATGTTACTCTCTTCAAGTAGCGATGAATTACCGTTCAAATGGCCGGGGTCCAGCAACCTTAAGAAGTATTTTTAGGTGTCTTACTACATCTACATTTTGGACATACTGGAGACTTGGTAGACCAAGTGCAGAGAAAGACAAAAGCCAGAGCTTTCTTCTGGACTCGTGTCTTCTGAAAATCTGCATCCAACAGCCTAGACAAAAAGATGAGTGTATTTCTATAAATGTCTTCAGTATTTCCTCCATCATAGGAGCCCTCTCACTCTTCCTTTGGGCTCTACAGTCTGCAACAAGGAATACAGTAATTTGTGGGCCACTTGTAGGATGCTTTGAAGCCATACAACTAGAAGGAAGATGTTCCTCTCTGTTTGGCCCTTCACAACTTCAAAAAATCCAGTAAACTGATGTATTAAGTGTTTTATGTTGGGAGATAAGGCCAGTAAATAATCACAAAGCTCATCAGTTTTAACAGTTGATGGCTAAGGGTCAAAATCATGTAGAGTTTTACCACATTAATAAGAATTTTTAAACAAAAATAAATTCTGATGTATTTCATGACATATTGTTATGCCAAGCCACCTAGATAGGTATTGCTGCTAGTTAGACAAGAGAGTTGTTAGTCAGCAAGATAATATGATATTCTCTTATCTTATAGCTCAAGGATTTTTTTCTTGCATTGTGCTTACAACAATCTGAAAATGACAAGATTTTTCAAAATTGTTTGAATAGGAAATACAGTATTTTCCAAAATCAAAACCAAGATTCTCATTTAGGATCACAGAGTCCTTGAATCTTACCTCCTGGTCTTATTTAGATACCTATGTATGTCAGAAAGAGCAGGCTACAACTAGAAGAATTCAACCAGACATTTGATGTAATGTCATATGTATAGTTTGGACTTTCTAGAAGGTAAGTCCAAACTATACATATTAGAAGGAAAGTACATTTTCTCAGGAGACATCAGCCTTGAGGAGATGGGCCCAGATTAAGAACAGACTTTTCACAGAAATCTATAAAACAGAAGGATTTAAAACTTGGCATATTCAGAGAGTTAAAAAAAAAAAAAAATTCCTATCTGGGGGAGTGCAGTGAGCAGCGAATTCGGCTGTTTCCAGCAGAACAAACTTCTCCCAAAATCAGTTGATTCCCCACCCTTTGGATTCACAGGCATGGCTGGTTCTGCAGAAAGGGTCTGTAACTGGGAGGGAGGGAGCCAGCCCCGATCCATCACTATTCATTTTGCTGAGCTGGAAAACCCTGTGTGAGAAAGAAAACTTTCTACTCAAAGGTATCTACTTTACATTTCTACGGGAAGTTTCTTACCAGCTCAACTCCAGCTGTGGAGCATTTATTTTACATAATTATAAAATTCAAATACATTCAGCGTACAGATTTCAAAACAGAATTGAAAATAAAGTGTTTCTTTTTCATGCCAGACAAAGCAGTAGGAACACTGCTGCAAAGACTGATTACGGTTTACGAAGTGTTCTGGTTCTGAGAATTTGATCATAGCTCCAAAGTGCTGGATGATGTGTCTGTAAAATACTCCAGTGTAATAAAGCATGACAGTTTTGTTCCCTTCTCAATTCAGGCCATTTTTGATCGGAACAGGAAAGATGAACTACCCAGGTTGCAGCTCGAGTGGATTGATAGCATCTGCATGCCATTGTATGAGGTAATTTTTACTTACGGCTCCTGTAGAGTCCAGAGAAGATTGTTCTTGCCTCTCTAGGGAGAGTTAGCTTACAGTGCAGCCTTGAAGGCTATTTGAACTCTTATCTTCCTTTGACTTTACCAAAAGCCTGAATTTTATGCAGAAATCTGCAGATTCCCTGAAGGTGGTAAAATCTGTAAACATCATTCCTCTCTAAGTTATAAAAGCTGATAGGCAACTGTTTATTTTATTATGTTTGAGACAAACTGATTCTCATCGTGGCAAGGTGTGGAGTGCTCTGCAGAGAGGTGCCAGAGGGACAGACTCATTAGGTGCTGATATCAAACTTGCCCAGATATGCATGACCCAAAGGGAAGCTGAACAGAGACTTTGCACTCCCTTCTGGCTCCTTTCCAAACTGTGACGGGGTGCTCTAGGCCAAGCCTTTAAGGTCAAACAAACGATTTGTGCTTTAACCTGTATGCTGTTTGATTTGGAGTTTACTCTTTTAATCATGCTTCCGCACAGATTGCTTGGGTGTTTGGTATAAGGTGTATAAGCTCTCACGTACTACTTCATTAAGGATATGGGTGACATGAATAATGCTTCTTGCTTTTTGGACTAAACCAGTTTCAGAATTTGATTTGTGTAACATGAGCTTCACCTTTTTAACTGTTTCTCTCTTACCTGTATAGAAAGCAGAGATAAATGAGCAGGATGATAAATGGAAAATAACACTATAGAAATGTAACCATCAGTAACTGTGTCAGCCCATCTTCATCCTACTGACTGAAACCACACAGACCACATTATGTCGCCAAAGACTGGCAGTTTGGCCACTGATATTTGAGAAAACACGGGGATGTTCTCACTAGGCACTTTTGGGGAACTGCAAGTTCTTCCTGTTACCACTGCACCCAAAACTGCCTCACATCTCCAACCAGTGAATGGGTCAGTGATGATACAAAGCCAAGAGCTTGGAAGCAGGTACCAGCTCCCATGTTAACAGTAAACTGATGAACTTGTGCCTGAATTTAGCTTCCCTACGCACAAACAACAGCGGACTGGCACTTCCTTTTCATTTTATAGACCAGATATGTCACCAATAGCACACAAGGTAAGAAGGATGATGTGCTTCCCCTGCCCTCTACACCTTGTGGCATCTGAGGCTGCCACTGTGGCCATAACAAAGTGACTGTCCAGCAGCAAATGCAGTTCCTGTTGGGTGACATGGACAACACGCACTTGTGTAAACAGCAGGGTGGGCTACTGCTTTGCCAGTAGGTCCTGTCCCTTTCTTAGGTCAGTCTTTGTCATAATGAAATTAACTAAAGCCACAGCTTTCAAATAATTAAGGCAAAGCAAGCACAGGAGAATAATATAAACCTATTTTTTTTAAAATACCAAGGTCATTTTGGACACTATGCAGTGCTGCGGCAGGGGGAACAGACCTTGGATGAAAACGCTTTAAAAATAATACTCCTTTCAATATAATAGTTCATATTACACTAGAATGCATATTATACCAGAATTCATGATTTGTTATACCATCCATAATCCAAATATCTACAGTAAAGCAGGAAGAGCTCATAATCAACCCATCCTCTGCGTGAGAAGACTACATCTGAGCACAAAAACTCTGGTTAGTTAGCTCCATCTTAGCAGGAGATCTCTGGGGAATATATTCACATCTGATTTCCCTGCTTTCTGCTGTCTTTGCATCACGCTGTGCAGCTATTAGCCTGCTGCTCAACAACTTAAAAAAGAGACACCATCAAACCTGGAAGTCATTGCAGCACCAGCCTTAGGGGTAAACAGAAAACTTGATGTCATAGTATCACACTGCAGGAGATTCTCTCTTCAATGTGAAGCCAAGTTTTAATTTTCATATCCAGCTTAATCAAACCTCAATACACATCAGATCAGCAGTGTCTTCAGGCATTGTAAATCCTCTGTTTAGGCCTGGCCGACAACTACAACAGTGGCCAAGGCCTAGATTATTTTTTTTCTTTAAAATTCTAGCTATTGTAATATGTTGTAGGGGCTGCATGTGGGGATAGAATGAGTTACATCATTACAAATGCAACATAAAGAGGCGGAGTGGCAGCTGACAAATTTAGTAAAAGCTTAGAAGTACTTACACAGCTCACTAGCATAGCACTTATAAAAACCTTATGTTTGAAATAAACATTTGACACTTATTTTGATACCAAAATTACAACATTAAACCATAGAGAACAAATAAAGGCTTTTGCATGTAGTTTTTTTCATGCTAGTGATTATAAGTCCTGGATCCGTATGGGCAGATCTTGGCGTCAAGAGCCCTGAGTGGAACTCTCCGGGAATGCATATGCATCCATACCAGCGCAGTTCCTGCAGCAGGACCTAATGCTGTGCTCTGTTTGATTTGACACCCACACAGTAGAGATTGTCCCAGCAACCAGTGACTGCTGGCAGCTCCCATTAAAGTCAGACAGGAGATTCAGCAGAGTCCCCTGAAATTTTCTTTGCTCTAAGTACTTCCCAGAAGTAGGCTATTCCTGGCAGCTGCAGATGTCTGAAGTATGCAATACCGAAGGAATTTCACAGCCCAGACTTCCAGGAGTGGTCTGACACCACCCTAGTGCCACTGACAGTAGTGTAACAAACCATGTCAAAGGTTATAAGCTTATATGTACATACATACCAGAGGCCCACAAGGAATGTTTCATGCTTACAACTGTATACAAACTTCACAGAGCATTTTAGAGTCATGGCTTTCCTTAGCCTTATTTTTTTTTCTCTGTTATGAAAAAAATGTTGGGACTGGGTCAGTCTTCTGGGGAGCTTTGGCTTTACCTCCTCTTTGTGCATCTGCTCTGCTCTCTGTGTTTCCTTAAGGTAGCTCAAGACAACCCACTTTGAGGTGCAGTTCTTCTCCCAAGTAAAGGATGATGAAGTCGCCTTTGTCAGGCAATGTGTATCACATGCCTCTGCTCACCTGACTAGAACAGTTTTCTGAGTTTGGCCCCTTTTTGTGAGAAGCCTTACAAGTGACTAGCAAATCCTCAAAATCTGTGCACCTTCCATTAGTAATCCTGTTTGCCTGCCCCTTGGAATGCCCGTCCAACCCAGAAGAAATAAGGTCAAAGATATATAACACATGCTACATCACAAGCTAATGTGGAGCTTGATGCTAAATATAGATACATAATGATAGCTGGGGATATTAAAAAATATATGGGGAATTATACACAGCTAGATTTCCCATATCCAAGTGTCTAAATCCAAAAAAGTCTCTGTGTTTGCTCTGTAGGCCTGACTTTGCTCTGGGCACAAGGTAAGCCATGGCTCTGCTCTCTTGCTCTCTCCCACATCTGTTGCTCAGTGTGGGAATCAAGCCACCTCCAATTTCAAAATACCTTAGTAATCAAATCTGTTTCCTTCACACTGTGTATCAAAGGTTTATGAAGATAAAAGCTTCCCAATTTTTTATTCATTGCTTTTTATTACACTTGGGACATTATAATTTTATTGAATTTACTTTTTTGTTACTGTAGTGATCACTGATCAGAGTATTTTTATGTGACAGTGGAGTTTTTGCCTTGAGTAGTAGAACAACCATCCATTTAGTCTGAAGCTCTGATTTTAGGGGCTTTAGTTACGCTTTACTGCATCACATTTGCTCTTCATTCAAAAATGTCAGCAAGAAAAGAGTTCATCAGTAGAGATGGGAAACAAGCTTATTAGAATAATAATGTATAAGGAAAATGTCATTGTTTTTCTAACTGTAGAGTATTTAACATCTACTAATGTAGCTTCAGTATGAAGTAATCATCCCCTGTTTTTGGTAGAATATCCTATAGAGGGGAAACGCGTGCAACTAAAGCAGAAAACATAGGACATTCCACTGAAAATAAAGCACTATGGCTACACTGACAGCTGTGTTCACCACACAGACAAAGTGTTCTGCAACTACTTGGACATACATGTTCATGTAACAGGAAACAGAATTTTGATCATTAAGACAAATTACCTCTTTGACCCTCCAGAAAAGAGATGATGAGAGTTTCAACACTAACAGATTTCTCTCCTGGACTCTCTGGTTTGTGTGTACCTAAGACAGTCACAGATTTTTCCCATCTCAGATTAGATTTCTCTGTGGGGAGCAGACAGAGTGGGAGAGTGAAGATCTTATTCTTTTTAATCATTATTTTTCTCACAAACAAGATCAAAGCTTCAGCGATTCACATGAAACAAAAGATGGCAACAGAAGCCCAGCTCTGTTCATGGCATTGTTAGGCAGAGACAGTAACACTGTGAATAGCAGGGCCAAAGGCCATGCACTCTGCTTCTGGGCAGATAAATACATAGTCAGGTACTCAGTGACAATGACAGCAGCTATTTAAATTTAAGGGAGATGTCTTTGTGGAAGATAAAGAAGCTCATGGCTTTTACAACTTATGCGTGCCTGAGATTGCCCTGCTCACCTCTACCTTGGTGCTCCATTGAACGCCCCATTTTAGTGCTATTTTTAGTGCTATTCAAGATTTTCTTGGGTATTGAACGTTTTAGACATATAACAGTAGCTACAGAAGTAAATTTGCATTACTCCATCCAAGATTCTAGGGGGAATCTGGGAAGAGTAGAAACATTTCTGTTTAGCCTAGCAAGGACTTTAACTGATTTGAGCAGAATGCAGAAGGACAGAGTCCTTCTTTAGCCCATTGTTTGATGTACTTAGAAAGAAATCTAATCACTGTCTACAACTCCAAGAGCTCTACTATGCCTGTCTTCCTACAGAAGATAATGTCTGGCCTTGTAATTAAATCTGTCTTTAGAGTATGATGACGTAGCTGCAAAAGCATCTGTTCTGCTTGTAAGCATACATTAAATGCACAGGGTATCATAAATGATAGAGCCTCTACAAAGCATAGAAAAAATACACAAAAATCTCCACAATCATGGCTACCTCTGTGCTTTAACTTCTCTGGTTCAAGAGTTGACTTTGACACCTGAATTGGAAGTGCATATGCATGCAC